ATTTAAAAAATGTATAACTGATATTGTGTAACAGGAAGAAAAGGTCTAAAAGAGCAGGGGAATTGGGAGGGGTAGGGGAATGGAAAAAAAGGAAATGAAAAAATATGAGAACAGGAAAAAAAATGAAGACAAGGTCTTTGCAAATAGGGAAGGGTGGAGGGGGTGATGGAGGGCAAGGGAAGGGGAAAAAAAAAATAAGAACCTAGAGACTCATGTAATGGTACAAGATCCCAATGATGAATGTAACTGTATTTTATACCTAAAATGTACCAATAAAGTTAATGGGGGGGGAGAAAATCAGAAGGTACTTGTCTATGCATTTAATATCATCATTTCATCTCTAATTTTTGTGTAAACTTTAAAAGGTAAAATATATTAAGTATCTGCATCTAATTCACAAATAACTAAATGTATATTAAGTCATTAGTAGTACACTCTCAAAGCCCATTACTCATTGTATTAGTCTCATAGGACTAGTTTTAACAACATACCAAAAATGATATGGCTTAAAACAATAAATTTACTCTCACAATTTTAGGGGATAAAAGTCTGAAGCTAAGGTGTCAGCAGGACTATACTCTCTCAACAGTTTCAGAGGAGAATCTATTCCATGCCTTTTCTGTTAAACTTCTAGTTTCTTCAGTAATCCTTCAATAATGGCTTCCAGGCCGGGGATTTAGCTCAGTGGTTTCGCCGCCTGCTGTGCAAGTGCAATGGACCCGAGTTCGATCCCTGGTACCAAAAAAAAATAATGGCTTCCAGCTGCTTACTCCAATAGATGCCTCCATCTTTTTTTATAGATCTTTGCTTTTCTTATAAAGATGCTAGTCATATAGAATGAGGGGCCCATGATATTCTCATATGGCTTTATCTTAATTACACCTGCAAAGACTATTTTTCTGGGTAAGATCACACTGTGAGGCACATGAGGTTAGGACTTCAACATAGCCTTTGGGACACCCAATTCAATCCACTGACAGGTACAGATTCAAGCCCCTATCCTCTTCTTTTTGGTACTGAGGATTGAACCCAGGGCCTTCTCACTGAGCCACCCCTTTTAAAATTTTTAAATTCTGAGACAAGGTCTCATTGAGTCACTCAACTGCCCACCCTCAGGGCTTAGATTTGCAATCCTCCTCAGCCTCCCAGAGTGCTGGGATTACAGGTGTGTGCTATCATGTTCAACTTCAAAACCCTTTTAAGTCTACATCTTTGTATATGATGGACCAACCACAAAATATCTAGAAAATACATACTTAAATTATGATTCCCAGAATGCACATCTCAAGACTCACTCATTTCTCTATAAACCTGCTTGAAAACATGTCTATAAAATTCATCAAGATTTGAAAAAGGTTACAGAATACTATACAGGAAAAGTTGATCAAACTTTTAGATTTCTCAGGATGTCCATCTCTAATGTCCAGAAGACTCTAACTGAAGAATAAAGGATTGAACAAAGAAATTTTTTAAAAAAGAAAAGCAGCGGGTGGTTGTTTATATAGTTTCTTACTCTGTTCAATTTGTTCTCTGGTTGCTTTTTAGAAAATATTACTTCATCCTGTCCCAGCAGGATGTTGAAATGGATTTAATTATGTCCTTTTCCAAGGAAGCCATGAACCAGAGTTAGAGGGTGGGCAAAATTTATTCTAAATTGGGACCCTGAATCCATCAAAACTATTTTTTCCTTCTTTTACTTTTTTTTTTTTTTCCCCCTTTTGAAACAGGGTCTTGCCCAAACTGGCCTTGAATTCCTGGGCACAAGTGATCTTCTGGACTCAGCCTCCTGAGTAACTGGGATTATAGATATGTTTCATTGCATGTTGCCGGAACTGTCTTTCTTGCCATGGCACTGAGACAGGAAATGATGGTGGGTAAGAGAGTGATAATATGATAACTTATAGCACCTCATGAATGAGATATTCATACTGTCATTGTAAATATGTCATTCTGAAAGTCAGTAACAGTGCCCCCAATGAAACAGAATTAAAACTCTTAGATGAGGTTTCAATGCTAGGCTCAACACTGAGTTCACAAACTGATTGAATTTCTTGTCCCTTTAAAAATTTTGTCTCATTTACCATAAGGAGCAATTATATTCATCTTATTGTGCCTTCTGTGTTTTAGTTACATTATTAAATAGATATTTATGTATTAACTGGGATCCCCGTGGCATTCTGTGTCCAGCTCCTTTCTTTTAACCATAATCCTTTCAAGGCCCTTCCATTTTGTCACACTTCATGCTGTACTAATCACTCCTTTAGATGGTTAAAATCTGTTACAGCAACATATCTCATTTTATTTATCCATATGAGTGTTTCCACTATAGTTAATGCTTACAGTTTACATTTGATTTTGTATACAAGTTTTTGTATGGACCTATTTAAACTTCCCTTAGATCTAGACCTAGAAGTGAAATTGCTGGGTTTTATGTTAACATATTTAACTTTTTGAGGACTAGTAAACTTTTCCAAAGTGGATAAGCCATTTTATATTTCTACCAGCAAGATAAAAGGATTTTAGTTTTTCTGTATCCTCACCAACACTTGGTAGTGCCCTTTTGAATATAGACATCTAGTGAGTGTAAGTAATATTTATTTCACGATGATAATGTTCAGCTACTTTTCATGCTATTCACTTTTAATTGTCATAGTAATAGCTATCCATCACAAAAGAACAAAAAACACTGTTGATTCAACAATAGACTTCACTAGTATCCAGGAGTGTTAAGATGACATATTTAGAAATCCAAATATCACCTGCATTAAGATGTATAACATACTATTTCCAATGATCATTAGATTATTTACTGTGCCTAACTGCCATAAATGATTAACTACCTAGACATCAAAAAAGGAAGGATTCACACAGCAGAATTATTTAAAAGCCCTTTTCCCTGCCAATGTTAATTTTAAAATAATTCAGATTATCATAACTGCAGAATGTGTTACTGTAAAAATAAATAGAAAGGCTGATGGTAGAATTTGTTGAGATGTCATTATTAAGATGTCCAATCCTTAACATACAGACAGAATGAAATGAATTAAACTGGACAATTTCAATAACATCAAAGTGATTTCCCTGATAACATTACAAGTTCTGATGAGTTATATATTTTTTCTATATAACAGCAGCCTTAAAGCTTTGATGTCTGCAATATTTATATGTTGCAGCTTATTCCCCATCGTTTGGACATAGCAGCTCAATATGAGAAATTAATCAAATTAGGTTAAGTATAAATATTTTGTATAAATAAATTACTATAATCCAGAATTCACTACATATTAAGTTAAATATTCACTAAAAAGTTGATCCTCATCCTTTACACTCGAATTCCTCTGAAACCTTGTTACTGGCCTAATTATATAGTCTTTTGTCACAAACATATTTATTCAAAAGGTAACAAAAATTTTTACACAGAAGTATGCATTACTTACCAAGGAATAAAAGCGTGAATATTATCAATTTTTCATTCGCTCTAATGATAAAAGTCTTATTGATTATTCTGCAGAGTAGTGTATGTTCTTTTGTAGTGACAACATGGGCCCCCCTTTGATGGTTCAGATATGGTTAAATCAAGATCAAAAGATTCTCTTTTTGGGGGCCAGGGATTTAGCTCAGTGGTTCTGCCACCTGCCTCACAAGCGAAGGTCCTGAGTTCGATCCCCAGTACCAAAAAAAAATATTTTTTTTTTAGTGTACAATGGACCCTTGAGTTATGACTGACCTGACATACAAACAACTTGGGTTATCATCGGAATTTTAGATTTAACTTACAAAGTCTTGAGCTGTGGCCCAAATGCCGGCCACTTGTGTTTCCAGATGGTCTCAGATACAGATTTAATCCTTAAAAGCATTCTAGAAGGAATATTATAACATCCTTTTCTGTGTGGGATTAATTGAGAAATTCTGGGCCAATGTCTAAGGACACCAAAATCTGTCTGTATACGACACAGAGACTTTGAAGGCTATGTAGAGAAGCCTGACCTTCAATTGACCAACGTGAGTTACAACCAGCCCTTGACTTCGTAAGTCAAGGGTCCACTGTATTTCTAACTTCTCTAAATTAAGAGATAACTTTCATGAGTTTTTTTTTTTTCTTACCAGAGATCGAACTCGGGTCCTTGCCCTTGTGAGGCAGGCGGTGGAACCACTGAGCTAAATCCCCGGCAACTTTCATGAGTTTTAAACAACACAAGAAAGGTTAGAAACCTCTTGAGATAACAAAAACCTGCAGATGCTCAAGTTCCACATGGCATAAATGGCACAGTAAATGCTATATATATACAGCTGTTATCTTGTACTGTTTATGGAATAAAAATAAAACCAAAAAGTCTCCACATGTTCAGTACAGATGCAATTTTTTCCCAAATATCAATCTGTGGATGGTTGAATCCAGGAATTTTGAACCTGTAGATACAGAGGGCTGACTATATTATCTTATCACTACAAAATTTTTTAAGACTTTTTTTTTTTTTTTTACCTGTGTCCATACTTTGGTTTAACTGTTGATCACTTGTTTCTCCATCTTCACTGATATATCCAGGTGGTGGTGTTTCTACAAAAGTTTAAGACAAATGATGTATAGGTGTGATATAATTTCAGTACTTTTTCTCTCAACTACCAAGTATAACCAATTAATCACTCCAAATAACAAGAACGCAAATAATATTTCTATAAAAAGAAATATTAGACTAAGGGCTTACAATTCAGATTTTGACCCAAATTCTGCAGATGAATTCTTAATTCTACCTGTTATACAATCCAGCTCATTTATCTATCTGGCTCTTTCCGAATGTACATATTCTGGGCCAAGAGCCAAGAATACAACTTCAAAGATGCCTCAGTTCTCAAGTAATGGACATTGTGGATGGGTATAGGAAATTAAAGAACATAGACACATACACATAAATTTCAGATTATAAAGAGTAACACAGGCTTACATCTTACACTAAGTTTTATTAAGACAAATTATAGTAATATGGTTCAGGACTAGTCTAGGCTGAATTCTATCTAAAAATTATTTTTTCCAGGGATTTCCAATTTGTAATTCTGTCTGAAGCAGAAAATTCAAGTATAAATTACTGCATAAAAGAGGCATTAACTCCCTCTGAAAATAAACATTAGGATTCTAATGTGTCATTTCCAACATGTTTCTGAATAAAATGTTTATGTTTATGTGCAGGAGGCATATGAACAGCCAAATAAGCTTCACAGAAAATAAAAACATTATACAATTTCATTACTTATAATTTTAAAGAGGAAAAATAAGTTCAAACGGTCTTCAACAGTTCAGCATTTACATTGCTAAATAGTTTTAAGCAACTCAAAATAATGCAGCCAGATACCTAAAAAGGATTCTGTAATTACCAAACAGGTGAGGGAAGATGCAGTTCACAGACTTGCTCTACTCACCATTTAAATCTACCTTCAATATACTAATCATAACTTTTATGTACCAAACATTTCATTTGTGTCAGTACCCCAAAATCTTTAATACTGAAATTTTAAGAAAATACCAAAATATAACACAAAAATAATTCATACCCATTTTGCACTGTTTTAAAGGATAAAGCTAATAAAATTAAACAGAACTAAACATCGCTAGTTTAACTGTAAACTTCTCAAAGATGTAAGAAGAAAGACTCAAAAAAAATTTTTTTTGGTGGTATTATGGTACAAATGGGAACCAGGTCCTTCACACTGACCTACACCCCCAGTTTTTTTTTTTGTTTTTTTTTTTTTAGCACTGGAGATTGAACTCAGGACTGCACTTGCGAGGCAGGTGGCAGAACCCCTGAGCTAAATCCCCTGCCCTCCCAGTCTTATTTTTATTTTTAGACAGGGTCTTGCTAAGTTGCCCAGGCTGGGCTTAAACTTGAGATCCTCTTGCCTCAGCCTCCAAAAGTGCTGCGATTACAAGTGTGCACCACCACATCTGGCTCAAAAACACTCAACTTTTTCTTATTGTGTTTCTTTATTTTTCTCCACTGTTCATCTATAAATGAATCATAAAATTTTTCACACTAAGTATTTTTCAAATATGCTTAAAAACTCTTAAGGTTCTTTATATATTTTTATTTATAAAATAAGGGTGGAACACAGCAACATTACATAAGAGGTGAAAAAATTGAGACATTAAAAATCCAGCATATAGCTTAATCTCCATCCTAATGTTTCTTCTAGGGAAAAAACAAAGTGAAATGCACAAGAACAGTAACAAATTATAAATTAGTCTCCTGATAGTAAAAACTAAAAGGCCAAGTGTTATATTATGCTATACTGCTGGGTCACATGATGTAAGACAGTAACATTTAAGAATCATGTAGCTGAAGTTATTTCTCATCAGGAGCTACTGAGGTCTATGAAAAACAGAACTAAAATGAAAGTTTTCTGTTTTTCAGGATAACATATGCATTGGTCCATCTACAGGACTAAAACAGTACATCTTCTATTGTGTTAAACATGTTCCCTCCCACTTGAATCACCAGTGGCATATGCATGGCTGTTCCTTTGGGCAGCAAATTCAAGCAACTAACTACATTTGGTCCATTTATAGACTTTTTATTAATTTTATTAATGATTGATAAAAGTGATTAGATTCATTTATACTACCAGTAGCACAAGCCACCCAATGAGACAGTCATGCATGTACCACCAGTAGTTCAAGTTGGTGGGACAACTGAATTCAAATCAGAACTGCCCGGCCGTGAGATTGAATTATTACAGCCCAGTGTTAAAAATGTTACATTTATCTTAAACATTATTAAATTCCCAAGAAAAAGTGATTATTTGGTAGATTTTTTGTTGTATTTGTTTCAGAGATATTTTTTTCCTGTACTATTTATTTACATTCTGCATCTCTCTTAGCTTCAACAACTAAGACAAACTTACTAAGAGTTTTTCTGCTTCCCAAAGCCAGTTCAAAAGAAAATGTAATATAAAGTAAAACTTGTCTCCAAACAAAACTGTTTATTATACTGGGCTGATCTATTCCACACAACAATTACCCATTATATCAGACTTTTCTATCCTAAACCCAGGAGCATTTTTTAAAAGTGAAACCATAATTTTAATGCCTGAGTGTTTGTCATAGAATTTTTTTCTTAAGTTTTAGTAGATCCAGAAAGCAAAAGTACCTGGGATATAATTACTCTGTGGCTCAATTCCTGCTGGGAAATTAGTGTTTTCTGGAATGGAGTGGGTATAATCATCCAGAGGTGGTAGCTCTGTTAGAATCTCAGTGTGCCGTGGCACTAATACCGGAGGCAAAACTACAAGAGTTAAAAGAGATCACAGTTAGTGCCAAGGAGCAAAAAGAGTGTAGGAGGAAGCTTTATGAAAAATTTTTACAAGAAAGAAGGCAGTAGCTTAGCTTTTAAAAGTTAAGGTCCACCTATTTGGTATTATATCAGTTGCACAGAAATTGCTAAACTGATTACGGCTTTAACCTATATAAATGACAATTTCCAAGTGTGCATTTATCTTATACTTTGGGAGATAGTGTGACCTTGTTTTATATTACCATAAAAGTTCATAAATCTCCATTAGAAAAGTTGAAGAAAGATTTGTCATGATTTGTAAAGTCAGATTAAGGAAATTTTTCTAAAAATATACTTAAAAAAACTTCAAGCACACAACTAAATGAAAAGTCTTGCTATTAAATAGCTTATTTTCAAATATTGTCATTAATCTACTTCTGAAAGCACTCAAAAAGCAAAATGCTTGAAAAAAGGTACTGAACAGAGTTGTACAGAGGTCTATTGGTTTTGCTATCAAGAGTAAGCAAAGCCGTGGGATTTCCTAGACATACCTGGATGTCAAATGGCATACTGTCCCAAGAAACAAACATAACTTTCCCTCTAAGATATATTTTCTTATTAAAAAGCAAAACAGCATTTAAAATTTTTAACTACCAAATACTCCTGATTTAAAATAAATTTTACACTAAAATTTCCCTGTGCCACAAGAGTACCTAAGTATCATTTAAGTTTAGGCATTTAATTTAAAATCAGGAAAAATTTCTGCAGTTGTCCTACCTGGTGTCTCAACTCTCTGATAGTGGTAAGGGTTTACACATACTTCATCCTTTTTTAGATTAAAAGCATATTCACAATTTTCAATTGCCTTCAGTTCATGATGACTGTGGAGATCAGGCCAGCGCCATAACCGACAATATATAACATGTGGCAATCCTTTTCGATGTGAAACCTGAAGACGACCATCAAGAGACCTATTGGGAAGCAAGGGCAAAAGAAAGGAGTAAACTTAAAAAAAAAAAAAAAAGTATAGCCAAATGGGCTAAGGTAATAATACACTTAGAGCATAAAGAAAGGAATGAGCCATTTAGTTAGTCTTAGCGAGAACAAGGAAGAAAAATGTATGCTTTAAGGATCTGATAAAATAAGCAGCAGCACTAGCAGATGTTTCCCAACAATATGCTACATAAATTACTCAAATGCCAATGAAAGGCTAACCACGTGGAGAAAATTCATCTTTTAAAAAGAATATCATATGGTCATACTTGATAAACTTTTTCTCAACATCTATCTTTAATAAGTCAAATTCTTTTTCAGAGATGCTTCAAAGAGCCTTAATTCTATAGGTAACTTAATAGTCAAAAAAAGGAAGTAGTGTGGAGAATGATAAATATCAACAATGACGTGACTAATACAACTCATTATTCAGTTTGCCCCTATTTTGATAACTGAGGTATATTTACATTGCTCACACAGAAATGCAGATGGTGATGAATATGATGGGATGAAATGGACAAATATCAACATACTTAAAGACAATGAGGTGACTTTTTTTAAAAGGTAACATAAAAATGAGTTAGCCTATTGTTAATTGTGATAAGAGTTCAGTAAATACTATGTATTAGTATATAAACATGAAATTTAGATAACAAGAAATTTAGCAAAAACTGATCATTTATTTGCTTAAAAATTAGGCCAACAGATTAATCTAAAATTGAACTACAATAAGTATATAGTTATCAAAGTTCTTATCCTTTAGGGGATTCAATTTAAAGAAGATTCAGAACTAGATTGCATTGATCAAAACATCAGTTGAAACATTTAATATACTTTTAATACTGGCAAGCACATAGTTTAAATGCTATGCCTTATTGTACCTTAAAGAAACATCCTAGACAAAATTATACGAAGCAACCCAGTAGAGGTCTTCCAAAACAACCCCCCTCCCCACAAGATCTCTAGGATTGACAGAGGGCAAAATATTCACCTGGTTTGTTCAGAGAAGCTGTAAAGGCCTGTTGTATCCCACTGATCTATCGTATTTGGTGTACTCAGTCCCCAAATTTCAGAGCAAGTGCTGTGCATAAATTGAAAAACAAAAAATTGATGTGAACATGGAAGCATGGTTATTCAAAGTACCATGATGTAAAACATGGAGAATGTACAGAATACTTCCTTCACCCAGAAAATATACATTGCTTCACTTTTTCACAGGCATTTAGTGTTAGTTACTATATTTTCTATATGAAGGAAGCCAATAAAATGGAACATGTGACTCCAGATAAGTTATGATTATGTTTTCAAAATGTGAACACCAATGTTCTTGGGCTTATGAGATAATATCTATAATATCCTTTCCATTCCTCTACTCAAAACAAAAGACCTAATATCTACACTATTAGCCTTTCAAAATCCTTCATATTGTCAGTTTTTAAAAAACTTTAAAACATCTCAATTGGTATTTTTAATATAGGAAAATTCCAATTAAAATAGACACATATCGACAGTTAATATTTTCAGGTTATTTTAATATTTACACATTCAGTGTCAATGGAAATCACTCTTGATTTCTTATCCCTATAAAGGATAAAGCGATTTTGGAGTCATTCTGAAATAACACACCACCTTAAAATTTTTCTTCCACCTTTCCTTCTAGAACATGAGCAGTCCAGAAAAAATTCTCCCTATTTTCTCGGCCACTATTCCTTTCAAAGTAACTTGAGGTTTTGTGAGAGAAGGAAAGAGTTTAAAGAGAACTTCTAGAATGGAACTTTTGACTGCAAATGTCTCTCAGGTTCCAAACTATACTTCTAAAATTAGACAAAAGGTTATTTTAAAATCTAATTCCATTTTTCACAGACTGCAAAAACCATCAAATTTCCAAACAGCAAAAAGAAACATTTCAAAACAACCTCTGAAAATAAACAATTGATTAAATTCAGAATTTACACTGCTACTAAGCTACCTGCAATCAACATTGCAAAGAGCAATGACGAAAGTTCTGACTGACTATGCCTGGGCAACAGAATCCTGTATGCTGGACACCAGGTCCTGTACATAGCTGCCCATCTGCAGGAAAGTCATGCCTTGCTCTAAAGGCTAAAGTAAATGGATGATTACAAACAAACAAAAAGAAAAACAGGGCAGGGCATTGAGCTCAGTGGTGGTACCACCTGGCTCGCAACCACAGGGTCCAGAGTTCGATCCCCGTACAAAAAGAAAGAAAACCAACAGCAACAACAAAAACACATTCAGAAATTTTCCTGCCTTGAGACATTTTAAATCCTTCTGCTTTTTTTAGGGTATATAATTTACAAGACTACAAAAGTCACAAGAACTAAAAAGTCGAAGGATATCTAGATAGCTGAGACCTTTCCCTTTTCTGAACATGGAATGATTTTAAAACCATCACGAATTATTTTGAAGATATTATCAAATACAAGTATCTACTGAAAACATACAGCACGATATAGTTTAAAGCACAAGTGAATCACTTAAACTCTAGGGCCTTGTGAATCTGCGTTAAGGAAGAAAAAGTATACAGCTGATTCTTTTTTCCTTTGAAAATAATTTAAAGAAATGCTTAACAAAAACATAGTTCAGAAGCTATTCTGTTCCTATAATACTAGAAAGAGTATTTCACTTGAGGTCCTTTGGCACTAGCGTAAGAACTAGAATCTAAATTACAGCATAAAGAGCTTAAATTGTGCTCTACTGAAGCCTTGAAATAAACCAAAGAATAAGGAATAGTAATTGTTAAGAATATGCAATCGATCTAGAAGCAGACAGACCCAAACTTTTAAGTACAATTCAGCCACTGAGTGACAGACCTCAGTTCTTTTGCTGTAATACCTCCTTCACAAAATTGGAAGGTTTGTTTTAAAATATTAAATTTGCTACTAGTTAGTAAAGTCTTTGCTTCTCTTTAGAAGAAAAAGTATTTATACAAAGAATCCAATTTATAAAATACACAAAACTAAAATAAATGCAATTATGTATATGTATACAAACATTTAAGCATAATTAAAAACAAAAGTATACTAAATAAAGAAAAAAAGACATGTTCTCTAGACAAAACACTATCATAGACATCAAGCCTGCCGAATTTACATATTTAATTCAATCTTAATAAAAATTATACATTTAAATTTTAAATTCTGACAAGACTACACCAAGTAAAACACACCAAAATGATTGAGTATGGCCAGGAAAACAATGATAAGGGAAGAGTAAAGACTTCCTCTTCCAGATTGTGAAACATAAATTCTCAATAATTAAAAAAGTATATAATTAGCAAAAGAATACACAAAATAGAGTAGAGGCTCTGCTTCTAATGAGACAGTGACCTCAATTAGATAAACTTTAAATTAGATATAAATAATAAACTGAACCAAATACAAATTATTTGAACACAGTATAGAGGGACCAGCAACAGATAACTAAAGAGATATTAACCCATACAGGAGGAAAATTACGTTGTATGAAAGCTGCATTTCCATGGCTTTGTACCTGAGTGCATGCCCTAGTATGAGCTAATCAGGACAACCAGAACTTAAACAGAAAACTTTTAAATGCAAATAAAGAAGTTATGGGGATGGGATCAAAATATGACTATGAACTCTGCTCAAGTCCTTGACTGAACCCTAGAAATATATATGGATTGCAGGGTTCTGCTGAAACTAGCATTGGGAAGGCTGAAAGAACTAAGATTTAAGGTGGAAAACAGTTCGGATTCTGAGGCCACAGAAAACTACCTGCTAGAACAAAAAATAAAACACTCTTCAGAGGAAGGTAACAGAATTCAGAGTCTCTACGATGTCTCATCTCAAATATGCAGTACATGACCAAGACTGACCATATATGAAGAAATAAGAAAATGTTACCCTTAGGCAAGCTATTTTTTTGCATTTATTTTATGCCTAATTTATTCCCGTGCCATAAGTTTTTGTTTCTTCAGTTTCTTCTGGGATATCCTCTTTTTTTTTCCATTTTTTTTGGTTTTCTTTTATTTTGTAATATCTTTTTCTTCTGTGCAACTTCCTCCTCTGGTTTAGGAACAATTTTCAGTAAAGATCACCTCAATGTGGCAGGAGAAGCTAATGTATGGGTTGATCTAGCCATGAGCATAAGTATGCCAGCGCATCCTGGGTGCTTTGTTCACCTCGATAGGTTCAATGACCAGAGAATCTACATCTACACCCTTAAGCTCAGCATTACTCTCTGCATTTTTAAGCATATGCAACAAAATTTCAGCACTCTTCTTGGGCCACTGACCCTGTGTCCAGCCCCACTGCTTGGCCTGGGTACACCTACCAACTCCACCACTGTAACATCAGAATGGGACACATTGCTTCTTTAATGTGACATCCTTCAGATACTTGGTGACCTGTTGAATATGCATATCCTTGATGGCCTGGACAGTTTCACAAGTATTCTTAAAGGGAACACAAAAATTTGAGCCTCTTCATTTGCAAGATTTTGTGGGGCTTTCTGGGTCAAGAGTAGGGAACCACTTTCACAGGTCACCTCTGGCCACTTACAGAAGAGCACCCTTAGGCAAACTTTAAAGTCAATAAATTATACCCCAAGACGAGCTAGCAAACAAGGATTTTAAAGTATTATTGATATGTTCATTAACTTAATGAACAGATCAAGAGTCTCAGCTGAGCAATGAAAACTATTAAAATAGCAGAGGAGGCTTCCGGGTCGATGTGCCACCACTTCCAGCACAGAGGTGGAGGCTTCCGAGCCAACGTACCACTGCTCCCAACACAGAGGAGGTGAGCCAAAAGGGCACGAGCAGCAAGCCCCTACCCCCACTCGGTGGAAATGAGAAGGCACATAAACAAGCCTCAAAACCAGACTTCCAGATCACCTACAGCAATCCCAAAGGGAAACAAAATGGAACACACTGATACTCAACCAACTGGACTCCCTGAACTGGCAACAAAAGAGGATCTGGAAAAAATGAAATCAGAAATAATTTCTCAGATAACAACAGAGATTGTGCCCATAGTGCAAGACATGATTAATAACTTTAGAGGGGAGCTGAGGAACATGATGGAATGCCAACATAGGAAACAAATGGAATCCATGAAACAGATGCAAACAGATTTCCAGGACATTAAAAACTCCACTGAAAATCTACGGAGAAGAATGAGCCAATATGAGGACAGAATTTCAGATACAGAAGATAAGATTGCAATTAGTGACCAAGAAAAGAAAAATTGCTTTAAAATTGTAAGGGACCATGAGAAATCAAT